GAAGAATAGGTGAAAAGTGAGGTGCAGGAAACTGTAAGAAGGCAACATATCAAGCTCTTTAAGTCGATTTCTTTAAGCTGGTGAATCAGTACCGGGGGCGGCAGCGGGGAGGTAGAACTGAAGTTAAAGTGTTTTATTTCCTGGCTTTTTGAAAAGGCCAGTGTGTTTCTGTTTTTGTCACTGCTGAGGGATGCAAGCAACAGCTCCTTACACATTTCATAGAAGACTGTAGATTCAGGATGGCATTTGGCTCATTATGTATTTTATAGTAACCCAAGAATGTTTAAGGGTCTCTACATGTATTTTAAACCGTTTCATTTTATGTTTTTCTTTCTCTTTTGACATAGATATTAAGATTCATCAGCCTGTTAAATGACTCCAAAACATCCAGAAACTAAGTAAAAAATTCTCTCAACCAACCAGATGTTTGTTTGCATCACCTCAAACAGCTGGATGGTTGACGGAACTTTTCACTCACATATTTGGGTGTCACCTAGATACAGCCATAGAGACCTGTCATAAGTACCCAGGAAAAAAATATTAATCTTGGCACATACCTACCATAAACACAGATATGAAGGCTCTGAGTAAGAGCTTCACAGGGCGTAATTCACTGATATAAAAAGAGATGATTTAACACATTTTCCTGTGTCCACTTTCCAATTATCTTCTCCACTCCACTTAGAGTAGGTGGGAATGGAGAACCCAATATTTCAGAATCATTACATCACATTGAAAACATCATCCAAGAGACAGTGGTTAGTTGGCATATATGCATGTTTCACCATATGCTATTGTTTACCTAAAGTGGAGGCCTGGACAGGAAGTAAAAGTCAGAATTTTTTTTAAGTTGTAAATTATCCAAGATTATACTCCCAGGTCTAGAAATGTGTCCTGAAGTTACATAAGAATTTAACAGGCTTTATTTATCAGACTCTAAATTATTATTTTTAAAACATTAGTGATCCAACATCAATTGTAAAAATATTTACTAGCTCCAATTAAAACTAGTTTGCTTTGATTATATATAGAAATGTTAGCAGTACAATTAGTACAAATATTGTTATAAAACAATTTTCAGTTTAGGCCATTATATTCCAATTTCCTCAGCCCCATTTTTCATGGGTTCCAAATGTAAGCAATTTCATTGGTCTTGCTAAATTGTACCATAGTACAACTAGCAAACTACAAAATCTCTATACATTATATAAATTGTCATAACTGGGTACCACATTTGGAAGAGACACATATGGTTGGACCATCAAGGTTGTTAGGAATAATCAAAAGCTGTGTGAAAGCTTTTATAGCATTCACCTGCTCAAACTAAGCACAATTCTAGCTGGTTCTATTTGATATTTACTTTCCTCAGTTCTAAAAAAAAAAATCGATGGAAAGCAGAAAGGAAAAGAAATAATACATTAAGCCAGGATTCAGAATGTTTTACCATTTAGGGGAAGGAAACAGACTAATTTCAATTCAAAATAATGATTTAATCTAATACTCAGAATCTGCAGAAGATTTAAAGCAGTTTTTGTATATGGAAACAGTTCTGAAATCTGATTCCTTTTAATTTTTTATAATCAGCAGCTATATTTCTAGCTATTGATATATGTTGTTGATCATAACTGCTAAATACTATCCCTTACAATATTCTTCATCATTTAATCTGCCTGTAGTTGTGCTAGTAATCCAATTCAAACCACTCTGGTAAAGGATGGGAAGCTTCTTTAAAAAAAAAAAAAAAGCGCGCATGGATTACTACTTTTAAGGGTAAATCGACAGGAACTTAATTATATGTAATATTAATAAAATTATCATACATGTCTCATATCTGATGCATGGCATTCTCATGAGATTGCTTCTAAACGTGTGTGTGTATGTGAGAGTGCTAGAACAAATATGTGAATATTATAAGAAAATCTGTTTTCGTTAAAATAATTAATCATTGTGTCAAGTATTCAAAGTACTGGTCTTCTTTTGACCTCAGGTCAGTATGTAAGTAAATAAATAGATAAATAAATCACTTGTTTGGGAAACCTTAGGAAATTTATTAACCATAATCTATACCAAGTACTTGATAACTGTACTGAAAACTGAAACTGATGGACTTTCCAGAAAAGCAAGCTTCAAGTAAAAATTACATGGATTCTAATTGCTATCTCTAACATAAAATGGAAAAAATCTTTGTTAATACTGAAACTTCTTACCATTTCCAAGTTTTTAAGGCTGTCATGGAAAATAAATTTCCACTAAGCCTTCTGTTTTCAGAGGCAACATATCAAAAGAATATTTTGCAGTCTGACAATTTAAAGTCATATTGTACAGAATAAACTTGAATGTTGGACTGTTCTGCTTCAGCAAGAATCTTTGTATTAAAAGCATCAGAAAGGTGCAATGACTATAAGGGAAACTATGATCATGTCAGCATTATTTACACATATGATAGCTGAAATGAAACACCGAGACCTTTAGAGTACTCAGATTTCTAATTAGACCTTTGAAAGAGATGGTAGTTAACACATAATCTGATTTTACTTTTTAACACACCTGTTTGTATGAATATTTGGAATCTCACTTAATCTTACAGCACAATGATTCCACAAAGCATTCTTTCCTTCAGCTCCATTGTATATTTTGTCAAATGACATGATGGTTCTTAATTCATAATGGGGACTTAGAACTAATGGTAAATACTAATTCATGTGTTCAAAAAATACTCGTTTTCTACTATGTGTCTGGCATGGTTCTAGGGACTAGACTCTATTGGTTTTATTATATAAATGTTAACATTTGTTCGTTGAGTTGTTTTCCCAGAAACACCTGTTTTTCAAAAACATTCTGGGGGACAATCTGAAAACTTTTAAATAACATTTAGAGCATGGATTCATTTTAGAAATTACCCAAACCACCTTAAAATGCATCTTGTGACTTTCTTTTATTATCATTAAAAGGTTCCAACATGACTTTGGCATACTTGCAAGCTTTTAACTACCTTTGAAAAAGACTTTGCAAAGGTAAATTATTTAACGCATCACACACACAAAAAGTCTTATGAACTTGGACAAAAATGGCAAAACTAGGATTCTGTTCTTCCAGTTAACTACTTAAAGGGTCATACTATGCCTTATGAAAATTCATTTTTCCCCACGTTGAAAATATTAAGAGCAAGGGTGAGGGGGCGGTGAGCAAGCAAGCAAATGCTGGGTAACCATGGAGCAGAATGTAAAGCTGTGGATCTCATCATCATCATCATCATGATAATAAGCTCTTTCTTCTTAGACTGTCATCTTTCTTGGCAGCACTGGAGTACCCTATGCTCCAAATCGGAAGTCTTCGGACTAAGAAGATGGACAAGGATATTTCAGCCAAAAGATAATAATAGAGCAGACATTTGCAATGTTTTCCCCAAACAGGTTAAGAGTAGCGATTGATTCTCACAGTACAGTGTACCTGGTTTGTTAATTATAATCATAGAACAACAATCTAAAATTCAAGGAAGCTGTCTGTGACCCTCACCACGAACGCGATCAATTAAGTGCTAATCTAACGGTACCTAACAGGATCCACTGGAGTGTTTCGTTTCCTTTTGGTTTCTAAACCCGAGGGGCTACTAATTTCCCTTCTATGGCACTAGGAACTTCTCTTTGTATTTCTTCGGGCCACCTCAAATACTCCTCCGGATTAACATCCCAGGGGAAAAAAAAAAAAACGGGAAAAGTTCAAGACGTCTCCTGACCAATTGCTTCATTTTGAAGACCTACCCATATTATGATATCGCCCGTAACAGTGATGCAGATCCGCTAAACCCAAAGCTGCCGACGGCAAGCAGGAGCTGCAAACCAGCCCCCGCCCCCGCCCCTACTCTCCCGGTGGCGAAATTGATGTCGAGAAGACTTGTACTAGTGGAGTGAGATCGTCTGTCTCCGCAATTGTAAACAACCAGCTGCTCTGGGTTTGCTGAAATCTTTAAATACACTCCTGACTGCAAACACATCCACTCACCAAGTCGCGCTAACAGTCTCCCCTTCTCCACCTCTAGGAAAAGCATCCTAAAACTGAACTGGCAATTCGCCCGTTGTGGAGTGGAAGAAAGTGAGGTTACATTTCCTCAGGCATGCCTAGTGGGTACTTGGCAGTCCGCAGAGGTGCTGGCCGCTGCTAGATTGCCGGTACCACGTCTCAGGATGAAATGCGAAAACACACAAACCCGCGCAGCTTAAGCGCGTGGTTAAAGCCAACACCGACGGCTCCCAGAGCACCTACTGCTGCGTAATGACTGTCTCTTATGACAGAGATTGGGGTGTAGGAAGGACGCATTGGGTAGGGCCCCAGACGGCGTAGGTTAGAAGGAGGTCCTGCAGTTCCCCCCGGAACATGGGCTCCCCGAATGAGGTTCAAAGAGAAATTCAAAAGCAAACTGGTACTAAAGTGCCTCCTAGCCCCTGAGCATCTTCTCTCAGAGAGACGGCAGGAGCGGGACCCGAGTGGCCGAGCCCCTGGCGGACGCTCCTGGTGGGAAGGATGCTGGAGAAGAGGCGCCCCCTTGTCTCTTCTCGGACAGAGCCCACCCCCCACTTCCCAGCGTCCAGGTCCACTTGTTAGAGCGCCAGGGCTCTGAGCGAGAGCTGAGGGGAGGGCCCCCCTTTCAGAACTGGAGGAGTTGGTTGGCAAAAGTGTCGCCTGAGAAGGCTAATGAGCCCTCGAAGGGCAGCGCCCCCAGGGCCCGCTGAAAGCTTGAACTGAGAACAAGGCCGACCTCCCATCTCCCCCGGGTGGTCCAGAGCCCCGGGCCGGGAGAAGAGCAAAAGAAGGAGCCGAGGTTATGCCACCTCAGGCAGGACTCCCAGAGCGGACGCTGCCCGCCACTCACGGCCGGGAACCGCCATCCGCCGCCTGCAGCCTTGGGGCGAAGTTCGCCGGGAGTCCTTGGGGTGGGAAGTGGGGGGTTGGGGGCCGCGAGCCAGAGGGAAGGAGGTGGGAGCCGGCAGCAACGCACCTACCTAGTCCAGGCGTAAGTTTCGATGGCGTCCCCAGGTGCGGTCCCCCGCCCCCTCGCCAGGTGCTCAGCCCCGCCGGGCGCTGCCCGTGCCCGGGACCTCAGGCGTCTCAGCCGGTTCCTGCGGGAAACGACTGTAAATCCACATTACTGTTCGAGCTGCCGCTCGGGCCCCCGCATCGCTCTCCTCCGGTTTGCGGCGGCGGTGCTCTCAGCCGGCAGCCGCCGGGGGCAGGGACCGAACCTGGCTACTACCGCGCCAGCGGACGATCGCTGCCAGGAGGGTGCTTGCGCCCGGGGTCGTACGTGGGTGCGAGAGTGTGTATACGCGTTTGTGTCCGTGAAAGAGAGAGTGTGCGTGTGTGTGCGAGCAGAAGGGGTGAGCCCAGCCCCCGGGGCACTCGGAGGTGAACTCCGGGCTAAGCCGGAGCCCGCCGCGCTCCCGGGTGCGGGGCCTCTGCACGGCTGATGGCTGTGCTGATGTTGCCGTGGCCGCCGCCGCCGCGCTCTAAGGCTGGTCGCGGTGGTGCAAAAAATGTTTCTCCGCTACTCGAGACCAAAAAACCTGCCCTGTCTACTGAGCATGCCCGGTTTGACAGCTCCACAGCCAAGGTTTTTTTTTTTTTTTTTTCCTTTTCCACTAAGACTCCAGGTTTTAGCCGCAGCTGAGATGGGGGGGCGGGGGGGGGGAGCTCCGGAGGAGGAGGGCTTAGGGACCAGGTAGCGGGCAAAGGAAGGGAAATCGAGATGAGAAAGATCAGGGTGTTAGAGGGTGGAGAGAGGGAAGGAGAAAGCTGGGGGTGGGAGCAGAGGAAGGAAATAAGGATCAACAAAATTTAGATTTCGTACCACAATGAGTTCCCGGCCAGGGTACTCTCATGACCAGATTCTATTTTTTCCGGAGGGTTAGGTGGGGTGGGGGTGGTTCGGAGGAGTGTTTGTCATCCCCAAAGCAACCTGGAACAGTGTTTTATAGTCATGACATACACAAACGCGCGCGCTGTTGCACACACACACACACACACACACACAGGAGCGCGAACGCTACCGCGATGTGTAAAGCCTGAGGACTGACTTAGAAAGAATGCAAAGTCTCTTGCCAGTATAACTTTGACAAAAAAAAAAGAAAGAAAGAAAGAAAGCGAGCGAGCGAGAGACCGAGAGAGAGACAGAGAGAGAGAAAATTGTTTGGATTCCTCCTTTCCCCCTCTTCCCCGCCTTCCAGAAAAGCCAAGCCCGTGAGTGCGGTGCGTAAGAGACCCGCAAGCTTTCTAGCGTGCGTGCGTGTGAGAGCACCGCCGACTGCCTCCCGCTGACAGTGTGACCCCAGCGCGCCAAGGCCGGCCGGCCACATGCAGCAGCCTCCTGGCGGCGCGTTGGGTCAGCGCTGACAATCTCCCCCTGGAGAGGGGCCCTGCGCTCCAGCTTCGACCCAGCCTGGCCGCCCAGGTCCCTGGGCTCCCCAACCCGCTCCACCGCTCACCCAGCCAGGCACGAGGGCAAGTACCCGGACGAACCCAGCGCGCTGCCCCAAGCCCTGGATCCCTCCCTTCCCGAGTGTCTTCAGCTTCCTCGAAAAAGCGGAAAAGCGGAATCTGCATGCCCAGAAACTCGCTTTGGGAGCCTAAGGAGTCCTACTGGGCATGCTCAGGACTTGGGGCGCCTCGCGTGGAGGAACTCTCCAGCCGCCAACATCTGCACGGCTGGGCCAGATGTGAGTCTGAGGTGGGAGAAGTTGGTCCGGGATTGGGGTTTGGCTCCGGTTCCGTGAAGGGCGGCGGCGACGCCCACAGTCGCCTTCTCCTTCCTGGCTTCCCAGCTAGAGGAAGACCGTGGGAGATACCAAGTGCCGAGCCAGGGGAGAGGCACCAACAGGAGTCTAGCGTACTCCCAGACCCCCTTCCCCCTAGCGCCACCCCCGCCGTAGGCAGGTAGGGGGCGCGCAAAGCAGCAAAGAGAGCCTCGTGTGTGTTTGCAGGGACTGCTAGCCTCTAGGTAAAGAAAAGAGAGCGCGAAGAGTTGAATCTTTAGGAGACAGACGTTACTGATGGTTTTCTTGAGTGAAGAAAGAAGGGCATGTGTGAATGTGTATGTGTGCACGCATGTTTGTAATTTTTCTCCTCAAGAGCAGAGACAGGAAAGCGAGAAGCTACTGCTGAGTTGAGAGCCCGCTAGGGGTTGCGATGAGGCACACTTGGAGCCTTGGCTGGCGCTAATTACCGGGAAGAGTTGCTCGCGGCGCGGTGGGCGCGCACCAAAGCTTCCAGCTGTTCTTCTCCCTGGGTGGTGGCAGCTGCGTGAGAACGGCTTCCGGGCTGGATGGTCTCTGCGCTCCCTAGCAGGGGGACCGGATTCAGTTTCCTAAAAAGAGAGAGTATAGGGTGACGCCAGGGATAGATCTCGGAACCGTGTGTTCCCATCTTCCTGGTTTTTGATACAGGTATTTGCAAAGAGGGAGCATTGTAAGCCCAGCACACTAACGAGGGGAGGAAATATAGCGAGCTGAACACTCTCAGGGTAAGAATCGGGGAAGAAAGAGCATGTTTATTCCCATCGTCCCTTTTTAAACACTGCCTTCAGCTTCGGGCAGGAATCGTTTGGATCCCAGCCGCTCACCATCACCCCTCCCACGCCCACCCCATCGCTCTGCCGACAAAGAAACAAAAGATGACAACTCGACTCTGTAGGGGGATAGCAACTGCTTCCAGAACCATCTCTCTGTTGGGCGGTTGAAAAAGCAGCGGGGAAGGGATGGCTATAAAACCTGTGTCTAGCCACCAATATGTAAACGAACCTTCCTAAAACCCCCTACTCTCCTCCAAAACAAAACGAAAACATATATTTAGGAGCTATAGGAGATATGTTTACATATATCTCCTAAATAAAATAAAGATTTCCCATTAAGAACTACATGAACTGTGGAGGGAAAAGACTCAGGATACCTCCCCAATTCCCATCTAAGAGTTCTGGAAGGAGGAAAAAGAAACATCTGGCCAGTTAGTTCTCCAGTGACTGGAAACACTCTGAGTCTAAGGAAACTCTGTCACCAATGATTAAAGAAAGAGCTCCTCATTAATGAAAAGGGAATTTTGGCAGAATGAGACTTGGACAAATCATAACAGCCAAGGAAATGGAATATACGATTTAAAACCATGATCATCATCACGCTCACACTCGCTGCCTCTTTGTTACTCTTTTCGAAGACATAGGGAGGAAGGGACAGTTGATCTCCAGGGATTTCATGAAAGGAAACTCAGCTTGTTTCTCTCCTGGCGATTCGGCAGTCTGTTTAATCATTTTTAAAAAACTCTCTCCTCTACCGCCTCCTCCTTATGTTTTCTCTCACGTTCTTCCCTCTCATTTTCCTTATCCATCTTCCACAGCTCCCTGGAGTCCTTAATTCATTTGGTCTGCGCCTGTCTCCCTTTAGTCCCTTCAAAAACATTGTTTCCCTTTCTAATTCCAAAGTACAGAGGGCTCTGTGACTTTTCTCCATTTCCAAAGAACTGATTTACTGCTTCTAGAGGTCCATAGCCTGATACTGTAGGTGGATTTCCTAAAGCGTTTATTCAACTTTAGAGATTCCCTAGACACATTTAAGCAACAGGAAATTGCAGAATTTTTAAGTCGTTTTGCTCATGGGACCAAGAATTTCTATTTCAAATGTGGATAGCAGGAAGAAGCCACACTAAATTGCTAGTTTCAGAATGGCCAATGTGAAGGAAAATATAACCAATTGTAATGGAGCATGCAGTCTGTGTAAGACAGTTACCCAGTTGCCTGGGTTATATTATTCAAATAATTTGCTAGGAATTGTTAAAGAGATTTGCCTTTTCGTTAACAAAGACCACACACATGCATGCATACCCACCCTTATACATTTATTCCCAGAACTAATGTAATTACATAATTCAATTCAGCAAATGCTTATGGAGCATCTACTATGTGCCAGGAACTGTGCCAGCACTGAGAATAGGTAAAGAAATTACAGAAGCTAAGATATGTTCAAAGATTTTTGAACAATTCACTAATCAACAAGCCATGTACCTAGAACAATTACCATGTACCTATGTTACCATGTACCTAGAACAATTCAGTCCTAGAGAATAGTATTTAGATTTGATTTTTTTAAAGTATTTGTTTAATCCATAGGTTGCATTCTCTGCAAAGAATGGAAAATGGAAAATATCACTTATTTCAATCTTGTTTCTAAGTACCCTCATAAGTAAAAGTGTAAGTACAATAATATTAAAAGACTGAAGTCAATAACAATTACATAAAGAAAATCAATGTGAACCATCTGAAATGGAGGAGTTTTGTTTGGTTGCTTGTCTAATGGGAAGATGATTTCAAAGGCACACCTTCAATACATACTTCTTGTGATGAACCATTATTTTCTATTGCAAATGATAACAGTGTCATCTAGAGATTAACTACCAGAGATTATGAATGGTGCTGGCACCTCAACTTTTGGCTACAATGATTGGAAGCAGGAAAGGTAGCTTAATGATTTTCTACCCAAACAGTTTTCATAAACAGAGTTGTAAAATTGCAGTCACCAGTTTGCTGCTAGAGAGTGCCCATTTCCAGTTAGCTATGGGCCCCTCTGGGGGAAGCAGCCACACTGAAGGAAGTTCACTTGAGCCTGGATGTGAACAGGTTGTGGCCATGATTCTGCATCCATATGTTCAGAGCAGATAGGCACATTTTTTCACTCTCAAGCCTCAGGAGAACCACAGACAAGCCAATTAAAGTCTTCTCTTTACCTATCCCTATTTAGTACCCAAATGGATCCTCTGGATCCACTTCTCTGGCTAGAGTTCCAAGGAGAAGCAAAATACTTTTTTTTTTAACTTTGGGCTTTAGCAAGTCACTTTGTATTCCATATAGCAAGTCCTGTTCATGGAAGTGTACATTCATACAGAATATTCCTTACTGGAAGGGCTCCATCAATGCTTCTGCACCTTGCTCTCTGCACCTTACTCTCAAAATAAAATGTATCCCTAATACAGATTAATCATAACCTTCAGAAACCAAGGTTTCTCAATAGGGTGTAGTGGCAATTCATTTGTATTATTGATATAATGGATTCAAATAATTGCCTAAATTTAAAATTATAGACAGTTAAAAGAATGGCACCTTGGTCTTTAATTTATATGAAATTCACTTATATTTGATATGCATACACATAAAAATATGGCAATAACAATAATTTGTACCCTCATAAAGATGACATAGTACCTTCCCTTGCAGATCTGAAAGCTGGCCTTATGCTAGTGTTTGCCTTTTTATCGTAAATATTTTTAAGAATATTACTTTTTGGCACACTTTAACTATCACAGTTGTTGAAAAGGGGAAATACTGATTTCAAAATGTACCATGATTTCTGTTTGAGAGATGAAATTACACTCCAGAAAAAGAATTTGAAAAGAGTATAGAACAATTAGGATTGTTCTGTTGGCATTTAAATGCACTTGAACTTCTCTCTAACTTTTGACCTCATCGTCATAACCTTTTAAGTGAATTGTTATCATGATTGA